ATGGAAGTTCTATAACTACACTGTTTATTCTCTTTTTTGTTTTGATGGAGTTGTCATCTCCATACTGACATCTCTGGTTCCCTATTTTTAGTCTTTCAGCTGTGTTTTATTTTTCAGAATTCCATGTCTTGGTTGGTATCTGGTTGATCTCTCCTGTAACCTAATCTTGAGTTGTTGTCTGATGATGTTGGTTCTCTAACTGGCAGACTCCCTTTAATATTTCTTGTAATTTTGGTCTGGTTTTTAAAAATTCCTTTAATATTTGTTTATTTGGAAGTGTCCTAATTTTGCTATCATATTTGAGAGACAATTTTGCTAGATGTATAATTCTTGACTGGCTATTTTTTTCCTTCAAGGCTTTATATATGTTATCCTATTGCCATCTTGCCTGCATGGTTTCTGCTGAGTAATCGGAGCCTAGTCTTATTGGTTTTCTTTTGTAGGTGACTTTTCGTTTTTCCCTAGCTGCTCTCAGGATTCTTTCTTTGTCTTTGATTTTGGCAGGTTTGATTATGATATGTGTTGGTGACTTTCTTTAAGGATCTATTCCTTATGGGGTTAGTTGAGCTTCTTGAATGGATATCTTCTTGTCTTTCATGATATTAGGGACGTTTTCTGCCAGCAAATCTTCAACAATTACTTCTGTGTTTTCCATTGTCCCTTCCTGTTCTTGAACTCCAATCACACATAAGTTTTTCTTCTTGATAGTGTCCCACATAATTCTTAGGCTTTCTTCATTTTTCTTCATTCTTTTTTCTGATTTTTCCTCAAACAGATTGTTTGCTACGTCCTGAATGTTTTGTTTTGTTTTGATATATCCACGTGGCTGAGTGTGTATGCTACTCTGGTCACTAATCTGGCTTCATTAAAGCTCTCACTTCCTGTCTCTGAGTAAGTGGAGCAGTGACTAGGTGTGTGAGCACAGGTCTTTGTTCACTGTTACTTTGGCACTGCTGAGCATGTAGGTGGCATTTTCAGTGAGGTGATGTATCTGTCCTTCTGGTTACTTTTCCATGGGTGCAGGGGGTGTTCTATTCATTGGGTTTGATGTTGTGTGTGCACTCTGCCATTTGACAGTTGGATGGGGCAAAGGTGCCTGAGTCTCCAATTACTGAGTGGGTGGTTTGGAGACTCTCATCGACAGTCCCAGGTGAGTGAGCTGCATGCAGGTGTTTGGAGTAGGTATGATCCTCAGTTTGCCAGGGTGGTGGTGTGGGGGATTGAGGCAGGGGGATGTTGCCTGCCCATGGATTTCCATCTGGACAGTGTGCCCCTGTCCACTAGTGCATGTCATAGGTGAGGTTGTGTGGCCAGTCCTCAGATGCCCACAAGAGTTGGAGAGATTGGGTGGTGCCACCAATCCTCTGGCCACTGGCATGGGTGACTAAAAGGAGTGGGTGGTACCACCAGTGGGCAGTACAATCACAGTATGCATGACTGAGTTCTTCTCTTAGTTGGCAAGATGTGGTGAATGTCACAAGTCTGGAGTTGCAAGAAGTGGGGGCAGGGGATGTGCGAGTAGGGTGGGAGTGATCCTCTGACTTGTGGACCTCTGTCACCAGTGACTGGGTTGTGCACGGTGAGTGGAGTGGGTGCAGTTAACTTTCATAGGGCATGAAGCACTCTTGTCTGACCTTGGCCATGAATGCAGAGTCTCTCTTGCTTGTCTGCACCAGGTGGAGTGGGTTTTGGCTGGGGATGCTACTTGCTTTGCTCAGTATGGCCCCACTGTGCAGGCTTGACCAGCAGGATGCTGGCATGGGTACCCGGAGGGAGCAGAAAGCACTGCAAGTCTGTGGACTTTCTGGGCCTCCACTGGGCAAAGGGGCGGACACCCCAGACAGGGCCAAGGGCTACTGGCTTAGAGGGTGGGGTAGTGTTGAATGCCACAAGTCTGCGGCTCCCACTTAGCTGCTGCAGGTGAAGTAGGCTTCAGCTGGGAATTCTGCCTGCCTTGTTGTAATACAGCTGTGCTGTGCCAGCTCGCCCTGGTGGCACAGTGATTAAGACCTTGGCTGCTAACTAAAAGGTCGGCAGTTTGAATCCACCAGCCACTCCTTGGAAATCCTATGGGGCAGTTCTACTCTCTCCTGTAGGGTTGGCAATGGCTTTTTTTCATTTTGTTTCAATATGGCCACACTATGTCACCTCAGCCAGTAGGGCGCTGGTGTGGGTGATCAGCGGGGTGGAGCTGCAAATCTGTGGACCTCCAGCGCGGGTGGCTGGGCAAAGGGGCAGGTGCCTCCAGACTAAGGCTGTGAGCTCCCAGCTTGGGGGGTATGGCACTGTTGAATGCCCCCAGACTGGTGTTCTGAGTGGGGAGAGGGGATGGGTAAAGAGGTGGAGTGCTGCTCGGCCCATGGAGCTCTGGCCTGCTGGAAGCTGAGGTGTGTATGATGGGTCAGGTGTGTCCACTAAACTTTTGCAGGGCTGGAAGGACTCCTGGATGACTCTGGAGGTGCTTGCAGAATTGCTCCTGACTAGCTGCACCAGGTTGAGTGGGTTTTGGCTGAGAGTGCTGTTGTTTGTCTCAATATGTCTGCACTGTGCGGATTTGGCTAGCAAGACACCGGCAATCCACAATTCTCTGTTTCTGCTGTTTTTGAATTGTCTGTCCTTCCACCTGTCACTCAGTCCAATTATTCAGCCTTCTTTTTGAAGCTTAGGGTTCCTAAGTTGTCATGTATACCCGAAACTCATGTTTTTTTGGGTGTTTGCTGTAAGAGGGACAACACAAATTATCTGACTATTCTGCTATCTTAGCCCCAAACCTAATCACATCTGACTGATACAAAGAGCAACACTAAGAAACTGAGACATGGATGAAATAAAAACACACATTTAAGAGCTAAAAAATAACCTCAATCATGAACAAAGCAAAGATGCTGAATATTAACTTTTAACTTAGCCAAGTTATTTCTAAGAGGTGGCATTGGGTGGCTTCTCTGCATAGAAGTTCTCTCCCCCCTAATCTGGTGGAGGACAGGTTTTTTTGCTCAGTTTCTCTCAACTGCCCATTGGTGTCTTTGCTTCTTCCATGTTCATGATCCAATGTCCTGAACACTGTCTTTTTGTAGCTGGTGTGTGACTGACCCCATTTCCACAACAACACTCTCCCTTGCTCTGTCTGTCTGGGGACCCTCGTTCTTTCCTGTAGATGTTCTCTGAATTTCCCTGCATTTTTCCCAGGGTTTGTTCCAGGAAGGGAGGGATGTGAACTTCACAGGACCCCCAACAGGGCATGGTTCTCAGGAACTAGAAAGAATGTGGGTTGTATGCAACAGGAGCATAGGAGGTATGCAAGAACAATGCAGGAGTGAGCAGTGAACCCAGACACATCGGAGCTGACCAGTTTCTTTAACTTTCTTAAAACCAGGGTTTCACATTCATAATTATTTCTCTGTGGTATTTCGCATCATTACAATTCGCTTTGTAAATTTGTTATATTTGTTCTAATATATTGTCTCTTGTATACTTCTTAAGGTATTTTTTTACTTACCTTTCATTTAGTGTTGTTTTAGGTGGAGAAAACATGGAGTGGAGAAAATAGTTAAGTGCTGGACTATTAACTGAAAGATTGGTGGTTTGAGCCCACCCAACTTCTAAATGGAAGTTTTTCTAAATTGAAGTTTAATAGTAGGCCATATATTAAAATTTATCAATATTAATGGATTGTAAGCTGAAAATCATGTGCTCATAGTAATGTGTGTGGGAGAAAAATGAATGAACACAAGATCATGCCAAATAGGGAAAAATATTTTTTGTACAAGAAATGTTCAGCAAATATCATGTAGTGATATAATTGTGAAGTACTTCCCCTAAAGGCAGAGATGGAACAAGGAGAACTGTTAGGACTAAAACTGTTTGCCACAGCATTGGAGATCCAGAGCAAAAAAATAACAAGAGGGGGAAGAGAAGTCTACATCTTAAAAAATTAAATAAACAAGATGAAACTGTTATTATTCCTGATGAGGTAACTGCAAGCCTAGGATTATTTTTTCTTTAAATATTAGAACTGAAAAGAACAATGAGCAATGTGGTAAAACCAGCCTTCATATACAAAAATCAATCTATTTCCACTTACATAGCAATAATAATTAAGAAGAGATAGGAGAAAAAGAAATGAAGCGCCCATATAGAATATTAGAAAAAGGAGAGCAATGTATAATAAATGTTATAGTTTTTAGATGCTGTAGAGTCAATTCCAACTTACGGCAACCCCATGTGCATCAGAGTAGGTCTCTGCTCCAGAGAATTTTCAAGGCTGTGACCTTTCAGAAGCAGATCGCCAGGCCTGTCTTCCCAAGTGACTCTGAGAATTTGAACCACCAAGCTTTAGGTTAGTAGTTCAGCTTAAGCATTTGCACCACCCAGAGACTGCTAAGCATTCTCCATAAGCATTATTATATTTCAAATGATCACCATTTCTCTTATGATGTAAGACACAATCTTCACAACCTGACCTCCAATTCCCATAAAAACTAAAACCTAATTTTCCCTCCAGCTTCACTCCAGTGCACATGCAAGACAATGCAGACTACTGCCCCCAACCCCTAGCTTCTAGCAGGATCATCCCACATGCTATTCCTTTTTTTATGGAATGTCCTTACAGTCTCATGCCCAATTAAATCTTGGGAAAATTTAATATCTCAGATTAAAAGCTACACACTCAAAGACTTTTCCAGTATCTCTGTGTTATTTCATAACTAACTGTATTATTATTGACTGGACTCTGAACTTCTCCACTACATACATTAATAAGATACAATTATATGAGTATTTCTGTAATAATTCCATAAGGTATCATTTATGATTGTAATTATTATTTACTCTTTATTATTGGAAAAGAATCTCCGTCTTATTCACCCATGCACAATGAGACTGGGTCATAAAAACGGGCTTAAGATTCTGTGGAGGATGAGTACATCAATAACTGAACTTAGTGAAAAATAGACAGTTTATGTTTTTTTGATGAAATGAAAGAATTGTGGTTTTTTTTTTCAGTGCACATACACTGGTACACTGTAGTCACGGCTCAGGAGAACAAAGAGGCTGACAGTTGGGAAACATGCAACAAACAGTGGTGAGATTTTTGTCGGCCACAAACTCAGATTATTAAAAAGAATCACACAAGTGTCCAAGATGGAAGAGAGGGTATAGGAAGATACAAAGGTGCTTACCAGAACAAGGATGGTTTGAGTGGCTCTGGACTCAGGGGAGGAGCTAGGGGAGAGGTTGTTCCTACGAATGTGTTGGACCCGCTGCTTGTGTCTGTACAGGATGAAAACCATGAAGCCACTAGCCCAGGACATGAGTCCCAAACATACAATGTCAGGGAATGAAAACAATGCTACATATAGTAAGCATGTGGTTTTGTCATAAACTGCAGAAGAACAGAATCCAAAATCTTTTTTCTTTGTGATAATTGTATTGCTCCAATTGCCAGTCACATAGATAGGGACTATGATATCTACCAGCATGTACAGGATCTAGCAGAGGATACTGGAGAGACCAATGTACTTGGGAGCTTTCACCTTAAACTCTGCCCACCTGGCATTCCTGGGGCTGATGGTGATGGCCTGGAAGACACTCAAGAGGCAAGTGCTGCCAATGGACTCTCCCCTGCCCACTCTGTGAACATAGAAAACAAGTTTGCATCCAAAATCTTTGAGAAAATCTTTCCACCCAAAACTTAATATTGTCTGGGGGATTCCTTTAGAGAGGACCAAGGTGTTGGCTATAATGAGGTGCCTGAGAATCAAGTCTGTGGACCTTAACCTGCACCCTGTGAAGCAGAGGAAGAGATAATGGTAAAGAAGAGAGAAATTCCCCAGAATTCCCAATGTAGTCTGTAATAAGAAGATCATTCCCACTGTCAAATCTCTGGAAGACATTCTCTCAGTTCCTGGTGACTGATATTTGTCTTCAGATCAAGAAGATTCTGCATGGGAAGACGGGACATAGGCCACATGTATCATGTCCACTGAAATCCACTGTGCTCCACCTACCAATAAGTCCCACTTAACTTAATTTTTTTTCTTTTATTAAGAGATTTCCAAGAGCTGAATGTATAGCTTTAAAGGAGACTTACAATATAAGAATCACTGCTATGAAGACGGTACATGTGGTAACTTCTTTATTCTTCACAAATTTATGAGGAGAAAAACTATTATTTACATTATAAAGTGCAGGGCAGGGGGCAGATTAGGCACAGAGAAGTCAAGAGATTTGTCTAAATTCACACGTTGTTTATGGGCAGGGAGAGAACTTGAAACTGGCTGGGATGGTAAGAAAAGTCACGCATTTAACTACCATACTAACCTATGAAGTGAATCAGCTATGTTCTTCAAATAAACCTGATGTGTATTTAGTTGTGTTTTTACACCTTGTCACTTGATTTTAGATTAATGGTACTTGCTTTCATAATTTAGCTGTAACAGGTTTGCATTTATGCTTAATGATTTATTCTGTAGGCCAATATCCACAACAAATGAAGCTTTAGGTATCTTATTCAATGTAGATGCACTGCTTGCAGTATAACACTGCAGAAACCTGCCCCGTGGCAAGTTGGTGAGTGCAAGGATGGCTCAATATTAGGAAGACAGGGCAAAGACTCATTTTCTTTTATGCCAAGGACAAAGTACAATGGCACCCATGACAGGAATTATTGAACTTTTGTACTTCGTGTTTTACAACTATGTGACATGAAACACTAATATGGGATACAGTAGTGTATGGTAGAAACTCAGTTATCACTGATTTCAAATTATATCTCTCTCTGTTTATTAATATCTGAGTTAAGTAAAACTACTAACAATGAGGTGAGATTTTTGAAAGATATTAAAATATAAGATACATATGCTAAATGGAATCTGTAAGATGTTAACTCTTTTTTTTTTTTTTAAGAGAACCCAGCTTTATTTATGGTAGAAATATGCAAGTTAAAAAAAAATTAGAGCATGTGTATACATAGCTGTTAAACAGTTTAAATTTTATTGACCTCCCAGTTTTTTAAAAAAGTTAAATTTAAGGTCATACCTCTAAGTTTGATGTACTATATACAGATCGTGCAGAATATGACTATGAAGAGATACAAATTAATCCATGCCCAAAAAGATTTACTAGAGTACAGAATCATCTTCATAAATACATATAAAATTCTTCTGAAGGTAGGGGGGACTGTCCAGGTTTTCTGAGACACTTTTCAAAGTGATTCAAGGCACAAAATGAACACCATTGTGAATATACACATTCTAGACTCTCTGTGCCTCTAATAAAGCCCATCAAAGATTTGGCATCACAAATTATAAAACTAAATGTACTGAATGAGATTCTGCCTCTTAGCTGGAAAACCACAGCACCTATAAACATGTATATAATTACTCCAAAATATGGAGAATACAAATACAAGTACTTTATTTTAAAAAGCAAACACAAAAGATAGATAGGTGTAAATTCAAAAGTGTTCAAATGCTTCCATTTTAGATAATTCATTTAGAATTGTATACAGGTTTGTTCCCAGAAGCTAATGTATCACTAGTCTCTAGTAAGGAAAATGAATGCTAAAAATTTACATGGTTTTCAGTAATTCAGATTTCACTATATAAAATCTAAAGAGACCAATAATATCCAGTATCTTCAAAAGATAAGCTAAAGACTCTTTGATGTAATTAACTTTACCAATGTTTGTCCAGGTCTGTTTAATATATACAAGGAAAATACACTTGCTCTATAATTTCTTATAAAATAACAAGTAAGGAGTAGATGTAGGAGATGTAGAAGGGGAAAGAGAATTCAAAAAGTCCTTCTCTTCAGTAACTTTCACTTCAGAATCATCAAAAAGCAACCACTTCCCCTCATACTCCTTTAAGCTTTGCACTACATATGAAATTTTATTCTCGAATCCACTAATGTTAATGCCTGTTTGGTCACTGGATTCCTTGTTGTTATCAGATTCATGGGTCCCTTTAGCTAATAGTATTAGTCTCGGAATTTCGACTTTCAGCAAATGCTGTGCCAGCAACCTTATCAGGATTAGATGCTTTGTTGTATAATTCATAATCTGCTTTGCTCTTTTGTCCTCCAAGAAGTCCAATAGCTTCTACATTTTTTTTGTTTAAAACTTTATTTGGCTGTGTATTTCCACTGACTCTAACAGACACTTCTTCATCTTCATAATTTTCAACCACACCCCTTGCTTCCTCCTCATTCAATGGTTCGGGCTTACCTATTTCACATACTTGATCTACCATAAAATTTCCTTTATCTAGTTCTAAACTGTTAAGGTCAGTGACTTTAACAGAAGCAGTGTAATGCCCACTACTAATTGTAATGCCACTATGCATCACAACTGCAAATAATCCATAGCTGTCGTTGGTTGGCTTTGTGCTCCATTCTTCTAGTGACAATTTTAGGGGTGTCAACAAAGGAGTGTTGATCTTGGAAAGTCCACCACCATAACAATCAAACTCCAAGCCACTAGCAGCAAAGCACTTCAAATGAATAGTTACAACTTCAGGCATTTTGTCAAACAAAAGACTTCGTTCAGCTTCAGTATAATGATGGCAGTTTTCACAGAAATATTTATCTTCTCCTACAATCCTCTCCACTGAAGCAAACTGTGAAATTGCCCATCTCAGGGTTTTCATTTCTGTTTTTGGCTCTGGAGAAATTTCAGAACTCTCCTCTACTTTGGAAAGCTCGTCTTCTTGTACTGGCACACTGATATCCTGAAAATTTTCTCTTCTTTCTGTTAAACTTTCACATTCCAAGCAACGAGTCCTTAATACCAGCTGACCTTGAAATAGTTTCTCCACTAGCTCAAAACCAATTTGCTCCACACCTAAAAAGAAAATAGGAAAAATATACACCTGTACAGATTAATTTTTCAGCATCTGAAACATTAATATTCTATTTAAATAAAACAGACCATGAAATAAAGCCCCATTTTCATATCTCAGAGCATTATGTTGTGTTAGCTGCCACAGAGCTGGGTCCCGAATCATGGCAACCCCATGTATAATGGAGCAGAACACTGCCCAGTCCTGAACCAACCCAGGATCAGCTGCAGACTGAACTATTGAGATCCATGCCGTTTACATGGACTGATTTTTGGAAGTATATTGCCAGGCCTTTCTTCCTAGTCTTAGCATGGAAGGTCCACTGAAATCTGTTCAGCATCATAGCAACACACAGCCTCTAGCACAGAAGGCCAAGAATTCTACCTGAACCATGACAGCAACCAGTTCCTAAGAATTGGGGGTCCCTGGATGGTACAGATGGTTAACACATTCAGCTGCTAACCAAAGATTGGAGGTTAGAGTCCATCCAAAGGTGCGTTGGAAGGCAGGCCTGGGGATCTATTTCCAAAAAATCAGCCACTGAAAACCCTATCATGGGGTTACTATGAGTCTGAATCGACTCCATGACAAGTTTTATTAGCATTAAGAGATGTGTTATTCATGAAATTTAAATTCCCTGTAAAGAGAGTTGACTACTATTTTCTCTAAACGAAGAGTCACAATTGTATCTTTTCATAACACCCTTCCTAAAGACAGCCCCTATACAATTTACTATTTTTGGTAAAGTCACTAACTACATTAATCAGTACTACACATTCTCCCTGAGATCTGCAGTACGGACAAAACTAGGTACAAATCTAGTTCAAGTATGGTATAACTTGTTGACTCACAGCCACCTCATGTGAGAACAGAACTGCCCCATAGGGTTTTCTAGACTGCAGTCTTCATGGGGGCAGATCACCAGGTCTTTCTCCCGAGCAGCAGTTGGGCAGGTTTGAACTGCCAACCTTCTGGTTAACACTTAACTGTTACACCCCCAGGGCTCTTTAGAGTATAACTAAGTTCTCTAAAACTTTTCACTAAATGCAAATTTTTATGACTTCAGTTATGTCAAATACTGTATAGGTAGTCAGCTGATTCCGACTCTTGTCGACCCTATATGTTTCAGAGTAGAACTGTCCTCCACAGGATTTCATTGGCTATGACCTTTGGAAGTAGAATGCCAGGCCTTTCTTCTGAGGCACCTCTGGGTGGATTCAAATCACCAACCTTTATGGTTAGTAGCCAAGCACTTAACCATCTGCATCACCTAGGGACTCCTAGAGGGCAAAATACAGTCTTTTTCCATTAAAATGTATTCAACTCTCCTAGTTTATAAACCATAAATTATCATTACCTTAAGATTAATGAGATTATATACGTCACACTTCTAAGCTGAATGCTTTTTAAAACAAATTAAAATGTGACCTGTAGGTCATTTTAATGTTAAATTTCTGTTAAAACAAAAATCTTAGCCATGAGGATTGTTATTATACATGTATCTAAGGAGAAAATTCTAATTATACAACTGTTAATGCTCCTACATATCTATGTCTAAGAACAAATTATACTAACCTTTGTTTATGGCCTTATCTTCATTAACATTAATGGGCTTAACATTATTCCCTGGAGAGTCAAGTCCACAACCATTAACCTTTAAAGTGTTATCATTTTCACACTTCTCCGCATCCTCTTCAAGATCATATTCGTTTTCTTTAAGTTGTCCTTTGGATCCTTGGTTTGTTGTTATTTTCCCCAGACTACAGAATTTAGAAAGAATGCTGGGTTGCTTAGTTGCAGACTTTAACCAATTTATTTTAACTCTTGATTTCTTCTGTGATGGCCCTGCACTCTCATTTTCACAAGTGTACTTGGGAATTCTTTTAGCAGGAATCTCTAACATATCACCTGTAGCTTTCCTTTTTGATCTAGTTTGTCTCTGGTTCTCTTCCAAGTATTCCTTGAATACTTTAGTTTTTTTTCTTCATGTTACCAAATTCAGTGTCACTTTTTCTTTTTGCATTTCCTTTTGGGAGTTTTTCTTTATATTCTTCAGAACGCCTCATATT